GACGGTTTTAAAAGTACATCATCACCCCTGAGCTTGTCGCCTTCCCTCACCCAACTTTTTTCGGAAGAACGTGCGACTTTTTCCGCTGTCCGCTGTGCGCTTGAGCCTTGAGAGCTGAATCACATTGAACAGCCACTGAAAGCCGAGAGGTAAGGTAACGTTGTTGTCCCGAATGCGAGCAGTTTGAGTGAATGAGAGCTAGTGAAGAGCGCCACCCTGTTAGCCGAACGCCCCGTTGGAAGCCAGTCCTCCCCAGTCAGAACATCCCACACGCCAGTGCCTCCACGCCATCCTGATGCTCTTCGGTCCGCTTCTTACTGCAAGTGGGGTTTATACTTGGAATTGCGACTGCTGAAACACGGGCTCGCTGTTGCTGTCCGGGACAGGGGGGGCGGATATGGATGCCGGGAGCCTGGGAGGGGTGAAAAGATAATGGTGACTGATGAGTTTTCCCTTTCTCTTTGCCCGCCTTGCACCCGCACCTCGCGCATCCGTGCATCGTGTTGGTGGCAGTGACGTTCATGAGATGCTTCAATCCTAGATTTGGGGAGCGTCGTGCCGAGAGCCTAAATAGAGGGCAACGGCGAGACATTCGTGAGCGGACATCTCTAACCGGAGTCATTTTCTTCGGGCGTCCGCACTGGAAGGGAGCTTCATGCCGAGAGCCTCGAACCAAAAGATTACCTAAATGTAAGGATGGCTTCCCGTTTGGTTGTGGGTGCTGTGAGGTTCGAATTCACGCCTCTTACGAGGCTACGACCTGAACGTAGCGCCTTAGACCGCTCGGCCAAACACCCATGTTAGATGATTTTACCTGCACAACTTATAATCGTCAACCGCGCCAAGGAGGGATGTCCAACTCGACTGCAGGGGTGTTGGTGCTGGTGAGGCTGTGTTTTTGACTGGCGTGCACGTGTCGGTCGGTTGGGTAAAACTTGGACAGCCTGTTGATCGGATGCGGTTCGACTGGCAAAATGGGATGTCCACGAAGAGTGGAAAGACGCATCGGAGAGGTTGCGGTTCAACTGAAAGAGGCGGGGTGAGCTGAAAGAAGAGATTCAAAAATAGCGTTGAGCGAAGTGGGTGCTGCGAGGGTCGGCTGTCGGCTCCAAAGGGAGACCGATAGGAGGGTCAAGCCCATGAGGAGCTGTGAAGTTCGAGCTCACACCACTTTCAGGACGACGACCTGAATGTAGCGCCCTGGACCGCTCGCCAAACAACCCTTGTTGAGCCAATCGTTATCGCATCCACAATCCACTTCTCTTATTGCGACCTTGTCTAGCGAGATTTCTGGCACTCGGCTGCAAACATATGCCAGCAACAATCGATAGCATCCCCGAATGGCGTTACGTCACCTTGCGCTTGATTGCCAAGCAACAAATAACTTCACGCCTTCCAGGAAGGAGAGGGGGTAGTTGAGTCGAAGAAGGGAAGACGAGGGGAGCGGGGTAGGGAGGAGGGGGAGAATCCGAAACCGAACTTCCCCAGGAACGTTGGAGCGTCGAGCTCGAAGGTGTCCCCAGACCTCACAGATTTTGATCAATATTTCCGCAAATCGAGTCATTCGACTCCAAGACTTGCCGTGGGAGACCTGGCATGTTCGGGTCGCGAGCCAATTACGTATCAGAGGGTCATTCTTGAGGGGCGATGGCAGAGGCTGGAGCTCATTTGAAGTTGGCGCGCTCGTGGTGTGGGGAAGGACTGTGGGAGAAGCGATGCAATAGAACGTCACATCGACGTCACTATTGTGGCTCTCGCAGGGTTCAAATAGCTTCGCACTGGCAATCTGCCCCTCTCACACCTCGTCCTCGTCATCTACGTCTCCGTCATTGCAACAACACACACAACTCCCACTCTCCGCAACCAAACCTTTTCTCGAACATCATGAACTCTTCTCAGCAGTCGCCGTCCCCGGTATTTCATCCCACACCGTCGAGTCCTCCCCTTCCCAGTTAGTTGGCTGTCGTGCGAGAGTGCTGACTTGTTTTTTCCACCCTCCACAACTAGGTCTCGCACCACGTCGGCAAGGCCGGTGAGCACGCCAAGGAGGCCTTCAAGTCTGCTCAAGCTCAAGGATCTGAACTCATGAGCTCCGCCGCTGATGCCCAGGCTCGTGGGAAAGAGGTACAGTGGCAGGGTGGCGGGGGTGCTTGGTATGGGCGGGACCTTCCGTTTCGATGGACAGTGGAAGCGGACAAGCACCGCTGGCGTCTTGTGGCTGCGAGAATTGGATGCCGAGTTGCTGATACCTCTCCCAAATCTATTCTACTCACCAGAGCATGAGCCGTACCGCTTCGGCAGTCGGCGAAAGCATGAAGAGCGCCAAGGACACCGCGGTCGACGCCGCCACCGCGGCCGAAGACAAGGCCTCCGCTGCCTACCGCTCCGCCGCCGACACCGCCAGCGGAGTCGCCACCTCGGCCCAAGACCAAGCCTCCTCCGTCTACCGCTCCGCTGTCGATACCGCCTCTTCCGCTGCCGACACCATCTCGTCCACCACGTCCCGCACCGCCCAGTCCGTCGCTGACACCGCCTCTTCCGCCAAGGACGCCACCGTCGACACCGCCTCTGCGGCCGCCACCAAGGCCGGCGAGGTTAAGGAAGCTACCAAAGAGAAGGCCGCCGGTGCTTACGACACGATGTCGTCCGCTGCTGCTGCGGGCTACGAACAGGGCAGGCGCATCGTCGAGAGCGTCGTCGGGGGCGTCGGCAGCGCCGTCGGTGCTACGGTCGAGGTCGGTAAGACCACCATCTCGGGCTCGATCGATGCCGTCAAGAGCGTGTTTGGTGGCGAGAACGTCGGCGAGGTGCTCACCGAGAAGGTCGAGGCGACGTCGGAGGGGGTTCAGAAGGTTGCCAAGAAGGCTAGCGAGGAGTCGAAGAAGGCGGAGTGATGATGATGATCCGGGTGTTTTTTGGTTGAAGACGAGCGATTTGCCGACAGGGAGTGACGGGGCGGATGGCGAGCTTGGAGTTATTGCTGGTGCTCTGAATGGGTTGTGCTGCAGTGTCTTTTTTTCTCTTTCGCTTTAGAAAAAGATCTTGCATTTCAAATCTGTTCCGCTTCTTCGCTCTCTCTTTTGTCGGGGTGGAAAGAAAATAAGTTGGTTCGTCTTTGAGGATGATCGCTAGATCATACCTTATCGGCTCGATAACTGCCACTCTCGCAAAGCGGTCGAAGTCGTCACAAAGCGCAAGAAGTTCAACAGACCACATGAATAAATCTCCTCAGTCACAACAAATGGGCACTCGGGGAGTTAATGCCTTAGATTTCCTCTCGAGGAGAATCACGTTCCAACGGAGTGTCAAAATAGGGGCCCCTGCGAAACTCAAGCTGTTCGAGGGGTCTGAGACCATCACCTCTTGAATGTTGCAAGTGGCAGGAAGAGTGACGGCGAGATGCTTACCAAGAAGTTCTTCGGCGCGACGTCGTATGATAGAGGACTGAAAGAGTTGCTCCGGGGGTGGTCTATGGGTTGATGAAGTATTTTTCGAGAATGGCAAGGGATTTCCTGTGGGGATTGATGGAGGGAAGGCTCAGATGCTGGCAGCGGCAGCGAGTATCAGCGTGAGGTCAATCGGATACAGCGAGGCGCCATCCATCCCCGCGGGCCGGGGTTTCAGCGATCCTGCAATAAAATCGCCCTTATCGTATTCCCGCCTTTTCTCCCCCTGTCCCATTCAACGTCTCAGTCTGCATATTCCCGTCACTAATCCCCGGACATCCAAGATTACTGTGAAGCTCGGGAATGTCGTGGAGATCGGACGTTCGCGGACCTTTTCCTACGCCGGCAAGAAGTGGGCCCATTTTCACCACGTGGCGAGAAGCACGAGCGCACGAATATGAGCAGAAAGTCATTTATACTCATCTTCTCAACTACGATCGCGTGGACAGCTCTGGTTCCTTTCCTGCTCCTCAATAAGAATCGATTCGCTTTGGATGGGAAAGATTACCAAGATGCCGCCGTTGTATGATGCCAGTCTGGACTTGTCCCTTCAACGATACGAGAGAAGCGACATGACCGGCGATCATGGTAGCACCTCACATGCTGCTTGCTACGCACCCTGCCCCCGTTTTCCTCAAATACGATTGTACCGAAGGCTCCGGGGGCACTTCAGAATGCTTTTTTCCGCAGCAACTTTCCTCCCGTGGTGTCCTGGGGGGGAAAGTTGC